ACTTCCGCCTTGCCAACTCTTCGCCAAGCTCTTTGCCAACTCTCTTCGCCGACTCTCTGCGCCAAGCTCTTTGCCAACTTCCCAGCTCAGTGTGCACCGCTGGACCTCAACCTGCGAGCTGCCCAGCTCAGTGTGCACTGCTCGACCTCAACCTGGGAGCTGCCCAGCTCAGTGTGCACCGCTGGACCTCAACCTGGGAGCCTGGGACCTGCCCACCTCAGTGTGCACCGCTGGACCTCAACGGCCAGATAGAATGCCAGAAGATATGCCAGATGGAATGTAAGATAAAATGCCAGAATGTTTGCCAGATAGAATGCCAGAAGATTTGCCAGATAATATGCCAGAAGATATGCCAGATAGAATGCCAGATAGAATGCCGGAAGATATGCCAGAACATATGCCAGAAGATATGCCAGGTAGAATGCCAGAAGATATGCCAGATAGAATGCCAGAAGGTATGCCAGATAAAGTGCCAGAATGTTTGCCAGATAGAATGCCAGAAGATTTGCCAAATAATATGTCAGAAGATATGCCAGATAGAATGCCAGAAGATATGCCAGAAGATATGCCAGGTAGAATGCCAGAAGATATGCCAGATAGAATGCCAGAAGGTATGCCAGATAGAACGCCAGATAAAATGTCAGATAGAATGCCAGAAGATTTGCCAGTAACAAAATGTATAAATGTCATGGTGGGAAGTAAAGTAATTTTCAGTAGAAAATTGCGGCTTGGTGGGATGAATTTTGAGAAAATTCATGTGCTGCAGCAACAGGTCTTGCAAAAGAAAGTCTTGGTCTTGGACTGCGGTCTCTTGCCCCAGCCTCAGGGCAATCCTGCCAGGGTCATGGGTTGGTCCATCAATTCGCATTAACTTTATGGTGTTTTGTGGGTTAAAACACATCCAACCAAACTGGGCCGGTTGTCATCTCCCATTCTTTTCCCGATTCCCCAGAAAAATATCCCGATTCTATCCCCAGAAAATTATTGCGTTGGTGTTTTCCTAAATATATGGAAATATGGGTGTGTCTGAAAATAGTGTACCCCTAAACCCAATGGTTTTGCTGATCATTATCCCTATTAAATGGCTATTTCATTGGGAATATACCCTATTTTCAGACAAACCCATATATTTCCATGAAAAAAATCTCCAGATATGTCCCATGTAACTGAACCATGGCGCCATGGCGCGCGTCAGGAACTTCAAGGCTCCCGAGCAGCGGCCCTTCGCTGTCCACCTGGTTTGGGGGCCCATTCGAATGGCGGGCGCTGGGGGACAAAAAAAATGATGTGTTTTTGTTGTTGGAAAACTTGGTAAAATTTGGTAAATTCCAACAAAACTTGGAAAAAATGGGTAAAAAAAACATGGGATGTTCCAACTTAAATGATCTGGTAAAAAAAAACTATGTGGATGTTGAGTAATCAATGGTGTTTTTTCTCAACGGTTTTGAGCTGTTTGTTGAACTATTGGGTTTTAGTCATAGGGAATATGATGTAGAACAAACCATGGCAATGGGATGACATGGGGTTCTCATCATGTTTTTACCATGAAATTCAGTTGGTACAACCGTTGGTGCAACCTTTACGTAAAATGAAAGGGTCATGATGTATGTTATACAACAGCAAGGTACAACTGAGTAATCATTCCCAACAAGACTCGGCAATACCCAACGTTTGGGAACGATAAATGTATGAGCTACGCTAGATTTTTGGAAAATCTGGGGGTTCCATTTTCGACAAAGTTCCCCAAATTAGCGAAAACATGATATGCAATACCCTCTGGTAAACGTTTACATAACTATGGAAAATCACCATTTTCAATGGGTAAATCCACTATTTCTATGATCATGTTCAATAGCTATGTTAAATTACCAGAGGGTAAATCACACCTTTATTGGATCCCGCAGAAAGTTCCCGGTGGAAAACAAAACGCCAGGCGCTTTGCGCCTCGAAACCAATCGGTGGCCTTTTTGGAAAGAGGTGAAAGCCCTTTTGTGATGCTGAAACAACCATGTTTCTTATAAATCATTATCCTGTATGAAGTTAGTTATTCCGAATTATATCTCCATATCCCAATAATAACCCCATTACATCCCATTAATCCTCATTAAATCCTCGTTAGATCCCCATTAAATCCTCATTAGATCCTCATCATTAGATCCCCATTCGATATCATTCATATCACTCATATCCTACTAATTATATACTATATCCCCATTGTATCCCATTCTATCGTGAAATTTGTGGATGGTTGCGAAATCCTGCGCCACCAATTTTGGATGGTTTTCAACCCATCCAAAATCATGGGATGTTTACCAAAACCACCGTTAAACCAAGGAATATGGATTTCGCGTTGCCATCCACTCTATCATTCATATCACTAATATCCCATTATATCATATTATATCTCCTTTGTATGCTATTACCCTCTGGTAAACTAACATAACTATGGAAAATCACCATTTTTTAATGGGTAAACCAACTATTTCTATGGCCATTTTCAATAGCGAACGGTAACAAATTACCAGAGGGTAACTATTTACCATTAACCATAGATTATCCATATATTAACCATAGATTAACCATAAGTTAACCATTTATAGATGGCTTACCCAGTCATAAACCATTTGAAGTCCCATTATCCATATCATATTATCCCATTATTATCCCATATCACTAATATATATCCATAACCATAGATTAACCATAGATTATCCATATATTAATCATAGATGAACCATTTATATTTACAGATCCCCATTGTTTGCTGGGTACATCCCCATGTCTTAACGGCCCAGGTGGACGACCACCGTCGCCGCGGCGGTCCCAGCAAGAAAGAACGCGCGGAAGCGCTGCTGTCCGCGGGCTGGGGGAGGCACCACCAGGGCGGGGCAGAGCTGCAGTTGAACCATCAATTAATCTATGATATAGATATAGATATATATATATAGTTAATTTGCCATAGTATATAGTAATCTGGTTAGTTGATTTTCCATTAAAAATGATGATTTTCCATAGTTATGTTAGTGTACCAAATGATTATATATATATATACACTGGTTGGTGGTTAATTGAACAATAGTGATGGTTAATAGCTGTTAATTTACCATAATATATAGTAATAGATGGTTTACCATAATGACAATGATCATCATATAATTATGATAAATTACTAACGTGACTCTCTGGTAAATGAACATGACGACCCTGGCTAGGGGTTGGAAGATGAGTGAAACCACTCAAAATTGGTGATTTTCAGGGTCCAACTGTTCATTTACCAGATGGTGAATTATACTAATAAATGACAATGGGTTAACATGTTAATAACCATCAGTTGAAGAACCATCAGTTGATATAAGAACAATCAATAACCATAAATCCTCATAACAATGAATAAATGATACTGGGCCTCAATGAGGCTTGACACTGATGGTTATCAAGAATTGAATAACAATCAATAGCAATTCAAGAGAGTCAACCCCGGATAAATAAACCCATAGGCTGTGAAGAATTTGGGGGTATGGTTGTAGAAGCAAAATATCACGGGTTTTTGGCGAGATATGCTGTAATCGCCGAATAGTGATACGTTCAGGATTTGTGAGTATTAGATGTCCTGGTTAATATTAATCAATAACCAGATATGCTGTAATTCATATTAATATGATGAATTCATATTAATATTATGATTAGTATCAGGGTATTGATATTAACCTAATATAATTAATATATAGTATTAATTTACCATCGCCATCCAACGTGAGGATTTCACTGCACCCGTTCACCATGAAAAAGTGGGCATATAGTTTGCAGCAATGCGAATTTCATAACTCATATATTAATATACATTATATATATTTATGTCATGACAAACACATATTATGGTTTCTTAATATATATATATGTGTGTGTGTGCATTGGCCACAATTTCCGGGATGAAAATAATGGGATTCAACAACCATCAACAGCCATCAAACCACCTTCCAAAATCAGGGATTCACCGTGGAAAAAGTGTGGCTTAATGGGATTTGATGGGAGTCTTAGCCAGCAAAGGCGTAGGCTTTTCATACCTATCCACCAGTGGAAACATCACGTTTCACCTGTTTTTCAATAGGCTCAGGCACTCACCATGTTTTGTGAAAACAACCATAGACAACCAACTCAAACTTGGGATGAGGGATGATATGACGACCTGACTCATCTGTTCATCACACCTTTGGGACCCGTGGCTGGTGGTTGCTTTGTGCCCCCATTGTGGTCATTTTTCCAGCTGGGATTGCTGTGTTGATATGACTGGGCAGCCGAGAAAAAAGCGCCATCGCGCAGTAGCAGTTGCATGAATCGCGATATTGCCACTTGCCGAGCGGTTGTTCTTGGGGCTCCGTTCAATGGGAAGGCAGGGCAATTTTCTCTGTTCGGCTGGGACGTTGACAGTGCATGAAGGCCCTGAAGGTTCGCAGATGGGTCGATGGCTCAAGCGTCGCACACAGTTTTCGCTGATTTCGACCACACTGGCCGACCGCAGTAAACGGTGAATAGGAATTCGGTGATATTAGAAACATTTAGAAACTATCTCCCCTAATATTAAAATCATAATTAGAGGATAGTAACCTCACAAAAACCCACCCTGTTTTCCTATGGAGAGTTCGGCAGTTTAGGCGGTTTAGCACAGGGAAAAATTGGGATTCACCAGCGACTGGTGACCGGAAGGAAATTCACCGTAGATCCGCGTGAATGTTGAACGACCTGACCCGCTATAATGGTTATTTCTAACATGAAATTTCTGAAGATTTACTTATCAACTATGATGTGTATATATATATATATATTACCCTCCAGTAAATTAACATAGACCCTGGCAGATAGGGGTTGGAAGATTAGTTTCCATTACAAATTGGTGATTTCCAGGGCCTATGTTTATTATGTTTATTTACCATAAGGTAATATAGAAATATATATATATACATGTTTGCTTATCGGTGGAATGATATAGGTGGACTAATATGAACCACCGAGTCACGGATGTGAACCATGTACTGTAGGTAGATTTGGCCAACATTACCCAAACTATGACTATGCATAGATTGATTCGGATTTCCATCCGATTATTTACAAGATCTGGGTGAAGTCGACCTTGGCCAAGGTGGTTTATGATACCCTCTGTTAATTTGATAGCTTGCGAAGTGGACAATCACCATTTTTGATGGGTAAATCAACTATTTCGACTGGGCCATTTTCAATAGCGAACTGTAACAAATTACCAGAGGGTAACTATTAACCATTTACCATAGATTAACCATAGATTAACCATAGATTAACCATAGATTAACCATATATTAACCATAGATTAACCATATATTAACCATATATTAACCATAGATTAACCATAGATTATCCATATATTAACCTTATATTAACCATAGATGAACCATAGGTTAACCATATATTAACCATAGATTAACCATATATCAACCATAGATTAACCATATATAAACCATAGATTAACCATATATTACCAGAGGCCAAGTGATTTACCAATAAACCGCTTTTAGATTTTTCACAAAGGACATCAGTGGTGCTAGTGGTCGCGACGGTCGTCCACCTGGGCCGTTAAGACATGGGGATGTACCCAGCAAACAATGGGGATCTGTAAATATAAATGGTTAATCTGTGGTTAATATATGGATAATCTATGGTTAATGGTTAATAGTTGCCCTGTGGTAATTTGTTACAGTTCGCTATTGAAAATGGCCATAGAAATAGTTGGTTTACCCATTAAAAATGGTGATTTTCCATAGTTATGTTAGTTTACCAGAGGGTATATGGTTTGATCGGAGAACTCTTTGGTTGCACGGGATTTCATGAGACTATGGATGTTGTTCTGGTTGCATGATGAGTGTTTGGCCCGGGTTTTTGTTTGGGGCTGTAGCAGTTGTACTAACAAATGCAATCCTCTAATGTGAACTAGCCAATGATCCATAAAATTGGAATGCTTGGGAGCAGCTTGAATGTGGCTGGCTTGTTTGGTTCCCCACTGGACAAAATTGGAGCGTAAATAATAGATGTCTGACCATTCCAGATCTGTGAAAACCAGTAGGTTGGGTATGTTGATGCGTTAATTTTGCGTCATACAAATTACATGCTATCTACGGTGGATGGAAGAAATCCTGCACCAGTTCATAGGTGGTAAACATCCCATTATTTATTTAGGGTTTCAACCATCCAAGGTGATGCAGGATTTGTTCCATCCACAGTATGACTAGCTGATTAGCCCAATGCTCATAGGAACGCTAGGGAAAGGCGAGATTGGGAAGAGTATTTCTGACCCTTCCACGTTTGTGGGAGATTGGGAGAACTGGAATATCATGGAAGATGTGCAAACCTTCAAGGTTTTATGGTAGATATAGCGAATTTTCGAGAATACGGTTTTTCAGCCAACTGAATCAACTTTACAGACGCTTGATAAAGCCAAGAATTCGTGGTTGTTGGTGTTCAAGATTCTGCCTTAACCCTGGGGATGATATCTTGATATCCAGCCAACCTGTCAGGGGCTGCACGGCAGTGTCTACCGAGCCACCCTCGAACTATGCTGCGCTAAATGAGGCCATGTTTTGAAAAAGCGACAATAACTGGTGGATTTATATGAGGGGGTTCTTAAAATGGGAGTACCCCAAATCATCCAAAATTGGAGTGTAGAAGTATTGAACCGCATTCATGGTAATTTGGGGGTCCCCTATTTTAAGAAAGCCCAGATAGAAAGTGATAAACAGTTTATAACCCATTCATCTAACTGGGGATATATGACTGGGGTATACTACAGTAATACCATGTGGGGCCCAGCACCTTCAAGTACCTGGGCCCCCCGAGATCGAGCTCGCTAAGTTGCTGGAAATATCTCGGTGAAATCTATGGTTTCTAACGGAGATTCGAATCCGTGGCGGAGGAAGTGTACCCACTGGTAAACTAACAGTTAATATATGGGTAATCTATGGTTGATAATGGTTAATGGTTAATATATGGATAATCTATGTTTAATGGTTAATAGTTACACTCTGGCAAATTGTTACAGTTCGCTATTGAAAATGACCCAGTCGAAATAGTTGATTTGCCCATCAAAAATGGTGATTTCCCATAGTTATGTAAACGTTTGCCAGAGGGTATGCATCCTACATGTCTACGTCGGAAGGGGAAGGGGTCACATTCCTGTGGAGGTCGAATGATACTTATGCGTCTGGCATAGATGTTGGTAGCAAAATTCAGACGATCCGACATCATCCACGTGGTTTTGATGATTTCTACGTTTCTACTGTCCATACAAACATGGGTTTCCCGGCAAGATTACAGGAACTCGTGGCAAATACTTTTCTGATACAATTCGGGTTCTCTCATTTTGTCCTTCATAATTCCCCATCTTCTGGGCGATAAGATGGATTGAAATTGATATATCTAAATCCGGAGCGATCCTCACATGAACCATTAAAACTACCCTTGCCGGTTGGTTATTGTAGAGGTTAGTTTTTACCTAGCTTAATGGGAATTGCTGCACCCCAGAATAGGCTTACATATTCCTGGTTGAATCTCCACATACCTACACTGGAAAAGCCAAAACAAATAAGTTGGTTTATAACCACATCCAACTATTATATATTAAGTATTAGGATATATCCCAAATCCAATCGTTAGCCTACTTACAAACCATATAATCAAAAATATTTGTCTTGGTTACGTCAGCATTCGTCCCAATTGTTTCCCTTTCTGTTCGGGAAAAACTCTCCCATCACCAGGCCCGTGCCTTCTGGAACGCCTCGCGGAAACATCTTGAAACAACAGAGGGTGGGACAGGTGGCACAGGACAGACGTCGGACAGCACGGCGGACAGCACGGGCCATTTGGGGATGCTGTGAGGTGAAAAATTGTGGTCATAGGATTCAATTTCTGTTGAGGTTTTGTTCCGAGTATTCAGATCTCGATGTTTCTGGATTTCAGAGCCTACTTTCTTGTTGCAAGGGGATTCGAAGTGAGCATGCAAAGACTCAGGTCCAGAGGTCATTCAGGATGATATGCGGGACCACTCAAAAAGGCCGCATAAATATGCAAATCCAGGTCGCTCATTCCCCCATTTTCTTGGTGAAGGTTGTAAGTTCTAACGGATTCGGAGCGTTAGTTAATATAGTTCATACAAGCATTAGATGCATTGATGATTGTTGTTATTGTTCTCTAAGCCCCACTCAACGTTTCGTTTTAGCAACTTCAGCCACTAATTGAACAAAGTAAACTCATCATCAGTTAATCATCAAGTCTCCAAAAATTGATCATGATTTTACCATACATCCGGTGGATGATTCGCTTTTTTGGGGGGGAGCCTCCTTGGATTCGATGATTTTCGTGCCTCGCTCCCCCAGGATGGCCCGGCCGGCAGATTTCCAGATCCGCAAGCGATGAGCTGCCGCTGGTGCTTGAGGAGTGGCGGATGGATCCTTTTCTCCATTGAAAAAAAAAGATGGGATTTAGATGGTTAGATTCACCCGTATATTCAGGATGATTCCATATTTTTTTGTGCTGGTGAAATTACAATGGATATTACAATGGATATATATATATATATCCACACGCATATATATATATATATCCACATATATATATGTACATATGTATATGGATATAATGAATGTTGCGGAAGATAGCCATCAACAATGGGATTTAGGTGATGAAAATGGGTATATAGTGGAACAATCATGGGACAAGAATGGAATAACATGGGACATGCAGCCAATGAGTAAATGGCTAGAAATTTCAACGTTCCCCTGAAGCAATTCCATTGATTCATTAAATTCCTCATTTTTTACTTGAGTCATGTTTTTTAAATTGCGTAAAGCCACATTCTTGTTGGTCAAATCCTTATCTGGTTGGTGGTTTGGAACATCATCATCCCAACTGACTAATATTTTTCAGAGGGGTTGAAACCACTAACCAGTTATGTTCATAGATGAAATCCCAATCTTTGTAAGTTAAAAATCACTATTTTCCGAGGTCAAACTATCATTTGCACCTAACTGAGATCACCATTTCTAACTTGGTGAGAATCACCATGTTCACTAGTTCATTCATATAAAATCACCATTTTCAGGAGTAAATGCATGTAAAATCACCATGTTCACTGAAAACATCTCATTTTCGCGATAAAAATCACCATATTTTCGGGAAAAATCACCTTTTTTTCCATGTTTTTCGTCAAAGTTTGTCGCCAGAACGCTCTGGTGGCGTGGACTCCTTGGACCTTGAAGCAGCTGTCCTCGCGGGACGATGTGGTGCCGAGACATCGGTCAGTTACGCGGATATTTTTTGGGGTTGGTAGAAACATGACCCAGAAACTCCAGTAACCATCGTGTAATGTTGGTGATATATAAACCATGGGTAATATATATATAAACCAGTTGGTAATGATGTTGGTAATGATGTTGGTAATACATTGTGTAATGATGTTGGTAATGATGTTGGTAATATATAAACCATGGTGTTTACCTAAACCATAAATGTAGCCAACATCAAACCATCATAAACACACCATGGTAATAAAACACATCGGTCACATAGTGTTGGTATATGAAAAATAATATATATATATATATATGAAAATATGACCCGGTTTTTTTGGTTTATGGATGTTTATGGAAAACTCCAGTAACTATTGTGTGTGTTATGGATTTATAATTGTATATGGGTATATAATGGGTATATTAACATGGGTACATAATGGGATGGGTTTAGAATGGGTATATATATATATATTGGATATTTGTTCTCACCATTAATGTTGGTTTATATTACCCAATACCCTCTGGTAATTTAACATAGCTATTGAAAATACCACATAGAAATCGCTGATTTACCTATTCAAAATGGTGATTTCCTATAGCTATGTTAGCTTACCATAGGGTAACTCCAGTAACCATTGTGTTTATGGTATATTTCCCAATAGCTATGGTGTATAACTCCGGCAATTATGGTTTATATTGAGTAACTATGGTAACTATGGTAACCATGGATTATTTAGCTACCAATTGGTTAAGCACCTATGCTCAATGGTGTATTGAACTTGTTTTCATGGGTTGAACATAGACAAACAAAATCTGTTCACCATGGTTGATGGTAGATATTAATATTCAAATATCAATGAATATGGCTAGTGGGGTGAAGAACTGTCATCGTTCCACCGCAGACCCTTAAGATGTTTTAGTCAATTTCCAAAAGATGAACCATAAATAAATATTTTGGGAAATAGCTAAATTAAGGATAGGATGATTAATTTCAGTTGATATTTTTTCGCTTCGTTTCCCCATTTCTGGATGAACTTCCCATTCTTGGATCAATTTCGATAGGCGCTCCGTGGAAGTTGGATGTCTCCGGATGCGGCCAGGATTGGCAAGGGACATCATCACAATTCACTAAAAGATGTGGCCAGCATCGTCCTGTAGTTATCCCTTTATTTGATCCTTTATATATATATATATTATTATTATATATATATTATTATAATATATATATATATATTATAATATATATATATATTATTATATTATATATCATAAATTTTATATTATATATATATATCATTTAAGATCCAAATATAAGTTCTTACGGTGTCCATATGTCCATATCACAAGTTTGACACATATTTTCTGATGAAAATTGGGATGGTCGACCTAAAATGATCTATAGCAACCCTCAAATTTATAGAAAAGTCATTTACCACTATTTTCAGTAGTACGTGCTGGTGCTTAGTGAATAGGGGAATGATCCATAATCATAATTACTATTAACAATCATCCCATTCCCCCATTCCCTGAAGATTAGGGGTTGCTGTAAACATCCAGTATATTTATCCCAATTATTATCCTAATGATTATCCAATTATCCCTCTATATTTATATTATGCTGATACATCCTAATACATCCTAATACTATAATATTCAATTGTTACTATTGGCATAATATTGCGAGAATTATTTGTAATATTGTGTTTTTTAAGTTATATTTCCATATTACCTTCGTTAATATTCATCAGTTAGTTTCCCAATCCATCAATTACTCCAATAATTGTTTCCAATTAATCACATTATTCATCAATTACTATTGTTAATCATTACTCCAATTGTTGTTATTCACCATTTTACCATATTAATATTACTATTGCTAAATGTTTTTCATCAATTAGTAATTGTTAAATATTGTTAAATATTGTTCATCCATTTACCATATATTAATATTACTATTGTTAAATACTGTTGTTAAATATTGTTAATCAATTAGTTTCCCAATCCCCCAATATGAACTTTTGATCAACGCTCAGGTGCTGCTGTCGCCCTTCGGCCCCTACCGTCCCTTCGATGGTCCCAAGCAGCGCCGAGCGCGGCTCTGGGAGTTCTGTCGCCGCTGGACCGGCGGAATTTGACCATTGAAATAGGGTTTTTTTTTCTGGTGGCTTAGTAGGCAATTAAAAAAGGAGGTTTAACTATGTTTAACTATCAACAAACAGGGATTTCCATAGGGAGTTAATATTTAACTATCAACAAACAGGGATTTCCATAGGGAGTTAATATTTAAATATCAACAAACAGGGATTTCCATAGGGAGTTAATATTTAAATATCAACAAACAGGGATTTCCATAGGGAGTTAATATTTAACTATCAACAAACAGGGATTTCCATAGGGAGTTAATATTTAAATATCAACAAACAGGGATTTCCATAGGGAGTTAATATTTAAATATCAACAAACAGGGATTTCCATAGGGAGTTAATATTTAAATATCAACAAACAGGGATTTCCATAGGGAGTTAATATTTAACTATCAACAAACAGGGATTTCCATAGGGAGTTAATATTTAAATATCAACAAACAGGGATTTCCATAGGGAGTTAATATTTAAATATCAACAAACAGGGATTTCCATAGGGAGTTAATATTTAAATATCAACAAACAGGGATTTCCATAGGGAGTTAATATTTAAATATCAACAAACAGGGATTTCCATAGGGAGTTAATATTTAAATATCAACAAACAGGGATTCCAGAGGGAGTTACTATTGTAAATTATCAACAACAGGTATTTTCCATAGGGAGTTAATATTTAAATATCAACAAACAGGGATTTCCATAGGGAGTTAATATTTAAATATCAACAAACAGGGATTTCCATAGGGAGTTAATATTTAAATATCAACAAACAGGGATTTCCATAGGGAGTTAATATTTAACTATCAACAAACAGGGATTTCCATAGGGAGTTAATATTTAAATATCAACAAACAGGGATTTCCATAGGGAGTTAATATTTAAATATCAACAAACAGGGATTTCCATAGGGAGTTAATATTTAAATATCAACAAACAGGGATTTCCATAGGGAGTTAATATTTAAATATCAACAAACAGGGATTTCCATAGGGAGTTAATATTTAAATATCAACAAACAGGGATTTCCATAGGGAGTTAATATTTA